CAGCATGGGCTCAGGGCACTGGCAGCACAGCTTGTCAGGCTTCCAGAGGTGGGTGGACAAAAAAACTAGGACCACTGGTACCATCCGTAAGAAGGAAGATGTTTGGAGGGAGAAGGGAGTGGGTGTGGCCAGTGGTGGAAGGGACCGCCTGGGGGCGGGATTGAAAGACTGCCCCAAACCCTGCTGCTCTCATGTCCCAGGAAAGAATTCTGGTGGCAAGTGGATTTCCCAGCAGAGCAGCCTCCCTGCAGGCCTGGAGTAGAAATGCTCCTCTTTTCCCAGTGGGACATCACTCACCCTCAGTCACCTCTCCCCACAGGCTGCATGAGCCGCTGTCCCTTTTGCAAAGTGAATACAACCAAGTTTCCGTGGGCCGTGGGCTGGCAGGTGCGCAAGACCTGCTACCGCATCGTGGAGCACAGCTGGTTCGAGAGCTTCATCATCTTCATGATCCTGCTCAGCAGCGGATCTCTGGTAAGCGGGTCCCTGCCCCAGGGCCCTCCAGATGGGGTCCCTCCAAAGGCCCTGGAGCTGCATCGGTGGGTTCCCTTGACCCCTGGGATGAATGTCCCCAACCTATGCCTGAAAAGAGAGCTGCACATGGGCACATGGGCTCCTGTTGGCAGCGGGGCTCGGCAGGTGCTTGAGGAGCCCATGCCGTGGCCTGCTAACCCTGGCTGCAAGTATTTCAAGCTGCGTGTGCATCACATTTTCTAGATGGAGAAGATGGGGACACTCAAAGGGCTTAAGGGACTTATCCAAAGTTACCCAGCTTGTCGGTAGCAAAACCTAACATTGCCCTCATGAGATCCCAAAGCCCCTGACTTTCCACCCTCTGACCTCCCACGCTGGTCTTCTCCAAAGGCCCGATTCAGAGAAGACTGTCTGTTCTTCCTTATCTTATCAAGCCGCTTAACAGATACTACTACTGCTCATTCACGGCTCACCACAAATCATTACATAGCACTTATCAAAATGTAATCGCCTGTGGAGCCTGTTAAAATGCCGTTTCTGATTCGGTAGATATGGAGTGGGGCCTGAGAATCTGTGTTTCCAACAAGCTCCTAGGTGATGCTGAAGCTGCAGGTCCACACTTTGAATAACAAGGCCTCGCGGGGAAAAGAGATTCTGAGTTAAGAGACACTTCCTGAGTCCCTTGCCGAACCCCCGCCTTTATAGGACAAGGCATAATGCTTCTCCGTGTCCTGTGATTTAAGCTCACACACAGTCTCAATTAATATTCCCAATGGACCAAAGTGGACGTCCACATGGGAGGGGACTCCTCATGCCCAGTTGTCCCCATTTTATGGATGAGGCAACCATAGGCCAAAGACATGAAGGGACCTGCCTGGGGTCCCAGCTGGTTAGCTTAAGGGAGGACTGCAGCCCCAGTCACCTGGCCCGTGGCTCCAGGTGCTTTTGCTTGTCGTGCTCCTCGTGTGTCATTTATTCTGGAAAACAATCTACTGAATGTCTGGGTCCTCACTTCAGTGCCAGATTTCCCAGGAAGGGTGCTGGAACCGCTCAGTGTGTCGCTGCAGCCTGAGGGAGGAGCAAAGGCAGCTGAGAAGTCATGATCTGAGACGGGGCAGGCAGACTAGGCCAGCAAGGGCACACAGCCGAGGGAGCAGAGAGCTTCACGGACCAGGGCTGGTCTGCCACCTGGAGCGAGTGCAGAGGGGGTGGCAGAGTCCGGCACAGGGCAGCAACTGTCCACCTGGAAAAGCGATCTCAGTCCAGTGCTGGGTGCAGAGGCCACAGTGCCAGGCGGGTGGAGGCTGGGCAGTGCTTTCTCCACACCCACCTTTCCCTCCGTCCTGCCCTCCTTGAAAAATAATAACCGCATTTGCTGTTGACTAGATGTTTTCATCATTACCTCCTTAGCTCACGTCTTTCCCCCATGGGCCTTCTCGCCTCATTTCACACGCCCTTGCTCCTTCCCTCACTCTCTGCTCCCCTTCCCCACACACCCCAGCTGCTGCCCGCTCTGCAGGGGCTCGGGTCCTACCCCGGCAGCTCTCCCCTCACCTCCATGGCTCTTTCCCCAAGTGACGGAACAGGCTGGCACCAAATTTAGTCTTCCTTATGCTTTTACTTTGAGTACTTTATAAAAAAAAAATAACATGAATTTTCATCTGACAAAGTAAAGTGGAAAAAAAAAAAAACCTTGGAAATTATGGGAAAATGCAAAGAAAAAATATCACCCGTTTTTCTATCACTCAGAGAGAATCTCACTTTGAAAACATTTGGTGTACTTCCGTCTCATCCTTCTCATGCATGTGATACATAAATATTACAAAGCCAAAGTCATATTATGCATTCTGTAAGTTCTCAGTAAATAGGCTCTTCCTATCTCATTTAATGGCAGGCATGGGTTCCGTACCAGGAGTGTGCCATATATGATTGAAGTTATCCCTATGTTTATTTCTAAGAAGCTTCGAAGAGTCTGTATGGTATATGCCTTTGGGGACATTGGCTCATTTCCTGTCTTAGGTCTGGTCAGAAGCAGAACCTGAAGTGGGGTCTCTCCGGGGATGGGGGGATGGCACCCTGTGAGGGAAGCGACAGAGATCCCACGGAGCTCAGAAGTGTCAAAGGCACCACAGAGCTGTCCCACCTTGAGGTCTTTTAATCCCACAGTCCCCAGAGGGGGCAGAAAACCTCCTAAGGTCAAGGCAGTCCCTTCAGCCCAAGAACTTCCCAGGGGGCGTTCAGGAGCTGTTAGCAGCCGATAGTCACAAAGCTGGGGGGTGGGTGCTGTGGCCCCTTAAACAGGATCTGGGTAGGGCACCCACAACATCTAGTGTCCTTAAGATAAGTTCTTGAAGGCAGAATTGCTTGGTTTCTAAAACTTTTGAGTCATGTTACCCAATTGGCTTTCCAAAAGACTGAACTGGTTTTCACTGCCCCCAGCCACGTGGGAGAGAAGCCCCCTCCCCACAGCCACACCAATACTGGTGTTCCCTGTTCTCTTCCATCTTTACCAAGCTGATAAAAGAAAAACGGCATCTTCTTTTCGTTTAAACTCCCTTAATTACCAGTGAGGTAGAACATTCTTTTTCAGAGATCCACTGGCGATTCTTACTTTCATCTTTGTGAACTGCCTGTGAACATCCTTTCATGCTTTTATTTTTAAACCAAGTCACAGTAAGCATCCCTTTGGTTCCCTTCCAAAATCCAATTCAAGAAGGTTTCCTTTCTCACTTGCACTCAGCTCCCCTGCAGAGTGTGAGCAGGGTTGCACGTCCCGTTGGCTTGAGGAAGGCCTGGTGTGTATCTCACCGTATTTCCTCCACTATCCCACCTTCCCGCCCCAGGACAGAGAAAACAAAATGATACAGGCAAGCTGGTTACCCGAGCTCTTCTGAGGAAGGGCTAAGGGCCGGGGGTTTCCTTTCTCATCATGGGGCCCCACTAACGCGAGTCCAGGCACTCTGCCATTCTGCTCCCTTTTTTCCAGGCCTTTGAAGACTATTACCTTGACCAGAAGCCCACGGTGAAGGCCTTGCTGGACTACACTGACAGGGTGTTCACATTTATCTTTGTTTTTGAGATGCTACTCAAGTGGGTGGCCTATGGCTTCAAAAATTACTTCACCAATGCCTGGTGCTGGCTGGACTTCCTCATTGTGAATGTGAGTGGCTCAGGGGGAAGGTGGGGTTTGGGGGCCTCACCTCTGACTGATGGCTGCTGCTGCACAAGGAAGCGCAGAGGCCTGGTTCTCAAGGGCTACTCCAAAGAAAAGACTCGAGCACTTAGCGAGGGGTCTGAGAATGGCCCTGCACACCTGTGAATGGTAAGATCCAGGCAGTACGTGATTCTGGCACAACCGTGACCCTCGCGTGAGTCCTCAGTTCCTAGACCTCCATCCAGGAGGAACACTTACTGTCTCTCCGTATTTTACATCCGAAGATGGCACATGAGGCTTCCAAAGGTCTTATGACCTTGAATCCATTGACAGGGCTTCTGGACTTAGGGAGCTGAGAGCTGCACAGCACAGAGTATTGGCCCACCTGCTGACTCAGTGGTCTTCAGCCCTGGCTGCATTCTGGAATCATCAGGGCAGCTCTTAAAAATACAATAAATAAACACTGCTATTCCTAGAGACTGGGATCTTTCTGGTTCGGGGCAGGATGCAGGGAGAACTAGGGTGGAGGCAGGCATCAGTATTTTGTAAAAGCTCCTAGATATGCCCAGTGTGCAGCCAGGATGGAGAACCACTGAGCCTATACCACTGGCTTCTTCCCAGTGGCACTAAAAGGGGCAGAGAGTTCCTTTGGAGAGGTGATGAGCTGGAGCTCATATGTCAAACTCACACTTATCCCCCCATCCCCAAAGAGTCCCTACTTCAATCAGGGGATTTACCAAGTGCCTCCCACACATTAGACTTGTGATTCCTCAATGCTGTGAGAAAACCATCCTCCATAAAGTCTCCTAAGAGACTTCCTAGGTAGGAATGATCTCTCCTTAATCTTAAACACTGCAGTAATGCTGTGAGAAAACCATCCTCCATAAAGTCTCCTTAGAGACTTCCTATCCCTCAAAAGGTAGGAGTGATCTCTCCTTAATCTTAAACACTGCAGTCCTCTATCTCTGTGCAGGCCTTTGCCCTCTTGGCTTTGCAAGATGGCTGGCTGAGTTATTCACTTCTGCACAGCTGAAGGTCCCTGCAGGCAGGGTGAGGCACATGTTGTGCTTGTCTCTGCCTCTCCCACTTCAACAGCCACCAGCACCAAGGTCTGCACATCAGAGGTGTCAGGAAATGTATCTGTATTTGGTACCTGCCTCCTGAAACTGGATGGAGTCCAGTACAAAACATTCTGTCCAGGCTCCTATGTTGTCAGGTCTTCCACAGCAGGTCGTGCACTCGCTTCTCTTCTTTCCTGATAGCAAGCAGCATCAAGCCACTGTACCATGGGGATTAACTGTGAGCTCTGAAATCTGAGTCACAGGTGATAATTTTGTGCATATAAAATAATCATTCATAAATGAATGGAAAGTCTTGTATTCTGGCTACCTGCCCTTATTAGTAGAATAGTTACTCCTACCTATATATGTCTCACTAGCTTCAGTCTTAATCACTTTAAATGGTCAGCTACTCATTTCATCCATCCTCCTACTAATTCTTCCTTCTGAGCCTCCATCCTTTCTTCCATATATCCTTCCATAAATCCAACCATTCACCTTTCCTTTTTCCCTCCTTCCAAACATCCATTCATCTTAACTTCTTCCATTTATCCTCCCTATCAGACCTCTCCTTCCATCTATTCATTCTAAAAATTCTTTTTTTCTTCCCTCTGCCCATCCGTTCATCCTAACCTTCTTTCCATCCATCTCATCTTTAGTCCTTCTACCTTCCTATCTTTTGATTCATACTTCTAATTATCCAATCATCTAACCTTCTTTTTACTCATTTATGTACCTTCCATCCAAGTATCCTTTTATTCATCTATTCTTCTATCTTTCTATTCTTTCTTTAATCAATCCATCTATCCTTCCTTTTTTCCACCCATCTGCCATTTATTCCTTTTCTCTCCCTTTCCCCATCCATCCATCCATTCATCCACCCATCCATCCATTTATCCATCCACTCAACCTTCTATCCATTCTCTAATCTCTCCTATTCATCTATTCCATCCAAATCCCCATCTTTCCATTCATCCATCAATCATTTTACCTAGCCAGCCACCCTTCCACCATCTATTCATCCCACCCATCTACTATTCCACATTTTTTTCTTCTTTCTTCCCTCTTTCCTTTCAACTATCTATCCTATCCATTTTTATATCCTTTAATCCATACTTCTATATAACTATCGTTCAACTTTTGATCCAGCTGTTCTTCCTTTTTTTTTTTCCTTCTTTCCATCCATCCCAACATGCTTCTATCTTTTCCTCAATTTATCAGATGTGTGTTTAGAACTACTAAATATAGGATTATCTCATGAAGTGCTCTGGGAGAGATAAAATCCAATAAATAAAAACTTATCTCCAGAAGTTTACACTTCAATATTCCAGCAGATAAGAGACATAGAGAGAAATAAACATATTATAAGAGGGGATGTGGTGAGCATTCCTGGAAATAATTAGTATCTTAGGGACACAGAGACATGAGCCTACTGCCATTCAGGGAATGGGTGTTGGGAGGGCTTCACATAGGAGGTGGCCATAGAGATAGGGCTTAAAATGAGCAGGAGCACTGAGGTACAAAGAGGACTGGGGGAGGCTAATCTTAGTTAAAGAGTGACCCTGAGCAAAGGCACAGACGCAGGTACATTTAAGGAACAATTTGATTTGGATAGAATATATGGGTAAAATATGACTGGGAAAGTAGACTGTGGCTGTCAGACAGGCTAAGGAGTATGGATCTCATCCTAAGGGTGATAAAGCATCAGTGAAGATTGGGAGTAAGAGAGAGGCATGACAATAATCAGATTTTCAGTGGAGAAGAGATGAGATGGATGCAATACAGAAGCCTAGAAAAGCAGTTGGGAAGCTAGTGGCCTGAGCAGTGGGTGTGGAGCTGGGCTTGGGTGGCAGGGCTTGGATGGAGAGGCCCCAGCCACTGATTGCCCCAGCTTCAGATCTTGCACATGAGGCAGCCTTCCCTGGGGGCTGCAAAAGACTAAATAGGGTCCAGCATAGAATGGGCCCTAAACCTCCCTGCCCTCTGTCAGCCAAGCAGTTGGGTGCCACCTGCTGGTGTCTGGAGCCTCGCATGGATAAAGGAAGGGGGTCCTTGCCATTCTAGTTCTTTGTCTTGGTGGAATATGCCATCCATTCAGAGAATAGGCAACGTTTGAGGCTCTAGCACTCAAATATAAACCACTCCCCTTCTAAAGTTCTGGTGTACATCTCACCTAGCTGCCAAGATAAGCTAAGCCTTAATTCAGCCCACCAGTCATGGTACAGTTGAGGTCTCCCAGGACTGGGTCACAGTCTCTAGCAAACTCAAGCCTATGCACCTTCAGAGTTCCTGGAATATGTGATCATTTTTCCACGTCATTTTGTGTCCTTTGCAATCCTTGGGAAAATGGACACATTTTTCCAAGGATTCCAAAGGACACAAAATGACGTCACAACTCAGTCATTATATCTCAGCTGTCTGTCAAAGCTGGATCTCATGGACTAATGCTGATCACTCTGACTGAAGGGCCTTGAAATTCTCTTAGTCTGACTCTCTCATTTCACAAAGGGGTGAAAGTATGACCTGAACTAACAAAGCACTAACCCAAGGTCACAAAAAATCAGGGGTCGAGAGGAACTAGACTCAACCCAGATCAAGATTCTTTCCACCTTGTTTTTCTGAACACATACAATTGAGACTAACTTTCTATTCCTCAAAATAAACTGTTGAGGCCTTGCTGGTGACCCTATAGAGGAATGGGAAGGTTGATTTAATATACTGGGAGCTTGGCCCCTACATACCAGGGGCTGGCAATGTGGGAGACAGGGTTCAGATAAATGATGAATGAAGTCTTTAATAAAAGGGAAGGGATCGCACTTTCTCTAGACCTCTCATTAGAATTGAGAATAAGTGGGGAGCCAGGATGAAGACTTAGAGAAGGGAGTGGGAGGGACTTCCCATCTCCTTCCACCAGGACGGCCTCTCCGGAACCCTAACGCGATGCTTCTGCTCTCTGCCTGCACTCAGATCTCACTGACGAGCCTCGTAGCGAAGATCCTGCAGTACTCTGATATGTCATCCATCAAAGCCCTTCGGACCCTTCGTGCCTTGCGGCCACTGCGGGCTCTATCTCGATTTGAAGGCATGCGGGTAGGATCTATCTTCCCCCCTTTATACCCTCCATACCACTGACTCTGAGCTCTGGGCCCCACCCCCACAGGTCAGCTCTGTGTCTTCGCTTCCTGTTTGGACCCTGGTGATGCTATAGTGCCCTAATTTTCCTAGTTCCCCTTCAGTCCCTTGGTGAGTTTCTCTCCCCTTCTCACCTCAGACCTCACTTCTCCTGATCTTAGTGATCCTGCTTCACGGCTCCACAAGCATCCCTTACCTCAGTCTCCTCCCCCTGCCAAGGTGTCCTCATTGTCAAAATCTTCAAAGTAGCCCAAGCTCTTGACCTTTCTCTGACAAACAAGACTTTCCTCTGATACTTCTATTTAAATGTAGTGACATCATCAGCTCAGCACCTCGGCCACCACCTAGTAGAATGTATCTTCTCTCCAGCCTAACACAGTGATGGGTCCCATGGGTTTTTCCCTTTCATCCATCCCTTCTCTTATACATCTCTATCGGCCTCCACCTTGCTCTCACTGTCTTCCTCAAGATGGAATGCTCACAAAGCTGGCCCTTGCCTCATGGGGAGATGAGGGGCTGCTAATTTTCCCCCCTCCCCTTCCTCATAACTACAAAAGTCTCCTGATAGAGAAAGTGAGGTTTTTGCTTTCCTCCTCCACCATTGACTTAAAGAAGACATCAGATCTTCAAAAACAAAAGTGAATTTTCAAAATTAACTTGTACCTTTACAAACGCTAGGAGTTTATGACTGAAATAATTTGATTTTTATTTGATTTTTATCTCCAGGTTGCTGATTTACAAATAAGCAAGTTTGTGAATATGGTTTTAGGTTGTCACTGATTCTTGAGCAATGCATACTAAACTATATTTTGTGTGTTGTATTTAAGGAAAATAAAGCAAGTTTCTAGGAATCTATATGTGCCAATCACACCCCTAAATGAGCATGTGAGCCATTGTAAACTTGTCTATTCCCTCAATCCTGAGGAAAGACAGTGAACCCTGCCCTGAAAGAAGTTTAGAGAGAAGGTATGAGCCCATCTTCAGCTGCCCAGAGTCTCTCAGTCTTCTGAGTCTGAATTATTGCACCGATTAAGCCACTGCTCTAGCTTCCAAAGGCCACCGGCTCATGAAGCAGCCTGAGTGGCTGTAGAAAGGAGCTGGATTCAGAAAAGAGGGGGTGGGCATTTGTGAGGTTCCAGATCCTTTTGCATTTTCTCCCAGGTGGTGGTGGATGCCCTAGTGGGTGCCATCCCGTCCATCATGAACGTCCTCCTCGTCTGCCTCATCTTCTGGCTCATCTTCAGCATCATGGGCATGAACTTCTTTTCAGGGAAGTTTGGGAAGTGCATCAACACCACCAATAGAGACTTTTCTCTTGTGCCTTTGGCTATTGTGAATAATGAGTCTGACTGTAGACTTCAAAACAACACTGGCAACCTCTTTTGGGTCAACATGAAGGTCAACTTTGATAACGTCGCAATGGGCTACCTCGCACTTCTGCAGGTGGTGAGTCCTGAGATCAACCATGCCTCTTCCTTTGGCTGCTCAATAACATGGAGGGTCTGGGGTCTTCCAGAAGATGCTATGTAGAGACTTTGCAAGGAGCAGCACTCAGTGCCACCTGATGTCATTCCCTATTCCTGCACACTACACCATGAAGCTAGAGAGCCTTACCAATGAGTGAAATCTCTCCACAGCGCAGTTAGACCAATGCGGGCTAATAGAATAGAATAAAGGGATGGACCTGCCATGGGATTATATCAGGTAATAACTTAGAATTCACTGCTTATACAAAATAGACATGATATAGCCACGTGTTCTGTTTTATACTGCAAATTATCTCCTAGAGGGTAAAAGATTATGTTCCAGGCCTATTATAATGATAGATAATTCTAGTGATTGTGACAGTCAAACACATTTGTACTTCGTTCATTCATTCATTCATCCCTTGCCTTCACCCACTTGTTCATTCAGTGCTGATACAATTGCTTACACATTAGTCGTGCAGTTCCCCACCAGTTCCTGCATTCCACCATTTGTTCATGCATTCATTTGACAAACAATCCCTAAGTACCTGTGGTATGTCAGGCGTTGAGCTCAGCCCTGGGAGATACAGAGACAAGTCAGAACTGGCTCCACAGGGGCCTGTGTTCTATGAGAAAAACAGACAAATAAGTTAATCAAAACAGAGGCCAATGTAGACAGATGAGCAGATACTCAGCAGCCTCTGCTCCTTGTTTCTAGGCAACATTTAAAGGCTGGATGGACATCATGTATGCGGCTGTCGATTCCCGAGGGGTGAGTCTCAGGCTCCTGTCTTCCCCTCCGTGTGTCCTGCCCTCATCAGTCTATCCGAACTGGTAGTACCAGAAGAGGAGACCTTAGTACCAGAAGAGGAGACCACCCAGCAGCCTGGCACTATCCCTCTTAGGAGCAGTGTCCAGCTGTCCCTCTGTTGGATATTTAAAGCCAACCAAGCCTGTTCCCTTTCCATACACACGCCTCAGGCTTCTCAAGCTCTTCCTCTGCTCACCACTGAGGAAAGTATCAGATAAAGAACTGTGTGTAAGGGTACTCCCTGGGCAGAGGTGGGACCTGGGGCGATGGCAAGAATAACTGAAGCAATGAGATAGAATTTCAGGTCCTGTCATGGCAGCCAGGTGGAGGAGATAGATAGTGTTGAACGGGGGTCTCTAACTCCCAGGCCATGGACCAATACTTGTCGGAGGCCTGTTAGGAACTGGGCCGCACAGCAGGAGTGGTGGCGGGCAAGAAAGCAAAGCTTCATCTGTATCGGCAGCCTCTCCCCAGCGCTAGCATCACCGCCTCAGCTCCACCTCAGATCATCAAGCATTAGATTCTCATAGGAGCAGGGGTCCCTGGTGCCAAAAAGATTGGGGACCCATTCGCACTATGGCAGACACTGTTGTTGGCCTGCTCCGTATCCCCTCAGGCCACCTCTGAGTTCACTCACGTGCTGTGTTTCTGATTCTCTGTCTGAGACGTGACTTTTTTCAGTGCCTCAGAGCTTGTTCAGCAGCTCCTCCCCCAAGGGTGAAGGGTGTAAGGTCCCCAAGGGCAACCCTCACGGACAAGTTTTGGGAGTCTGTAGATAAATGCTCCTGCTTCCCTGTCCCTTGGAGGTAAAGCTTCCTAGAAGGGCCCAACAGGCTGGCATGCCAATTGCCCACAGTGAAGGCTGCTTCACAGCACCCCCTTTCGCTTGCTTTTCCCCTATTCCTGCTTGCCTTTCTCCTCCCTCACTCCTGCTTCCTGGGATCATCTCCCACATAAAGCATCTGCACCCAGGTCCTCGTCTTGGGGTTGGCTTTTGGGGTGAACACAAACTAAAACAGCACCCTCCTCCCCTCTTGTCTGCTCACAGGTGAACTTGCAGCCCAAGTGGGAGAGCAATGTGTACATGTACTTGTACTTCGTCATCTTCATCATTTTTGGAGGCTTCTTCACCCTCAATCTCTTTGTTGGGGTCATAATTGACAACTTTAATCAACAGAAAAAAAAGATAAGTGGGGCTCGGGTTTTTGTTTTGCAGTAGTGGCCAATTCTATACTTCCTGTCCCTAAAGACTAAAGCCAACGCTATTCACAGCCTTTTGTGCCTGACTGGGAGCCCAGTTTTGACCTTTGACACCAACACTGACCTCTGCCCCCTGATTGCAATCATCACTTCTGTTTCGTGTCTGGGGCAGCTGCTGGAAGAGCAGTACTTCTCTGTATCAGCATTGCCCCCGCCCTTGGGCCCCCATCCTCTCTCCCGGAGTGCTGTGGTCCTCCTAGCTGGAACCAGGTGTGTTGGTGGTATCCCAGGTGACCCCTTGAGAAGTATCAACAAGGAAAGAAAGGCCTCCAGCACTTGCTGCCTCTGTATGGAGCCCTGACATCCAGAGCACTGAGTCAGGACACTGCAGGAATGGCCAGAGCCCCAGTGTAGACAGAATCTCAACATTCTTCGGGATGGGGAAGACGACCCTTGCTTCCATGGGTGCTGACTCTGATGAACAGGAGCCCAATCCCAGATAACCTCTCATATTTTTATTAAAGGTATAAAATGCTTTCATGCTATCCTTCCATTTAATGCCCTCCATGAGGCAGATAGAGCATTATTCTGGATTTGTATACACTGAGATCCAGGAAAGGATCACATGGAGAAATCACAGCACAGCACTGAGAGCACAGCGTTGGTTTTGGCATCATGCAAGCCTGGGTTTGCATTCCCAACTCAGCCACTTCCTGGCAATTTTTAAAACATCTTTGAGTCTCAGTTTTTTCATGCCTTCCATGGGATTATTAATACCTACTCACACAATTTTGGTGAGAGGTAAATACAATCCCGTATTAAAAGCACCTCATTTAGGGCTGAGCACTCAACCGTCACTAGAGAAAAAGTGTCACTGTTATAGTTTAGATTACATATTTAGTGGGGTCAGCATCCCACCTGTAGGAAGTCCTCAGCCAGGATTCTGAGGATGAGAAGAGGCAGGACAGGTCTTCAGGAGCCCAAGAGGGGCTCAGCAAGACAGCTGAAACACTGACCAGTGTCATTGGTCCCCTGGGGCCTTTGTGATCATCCACTCAATACTTTCTCCATTTTACAGCTGAGGAAACCTAGGTCCAGGCATGGAGCTGGCCATGTTAGGGAATAGAGTGAGATTACCCTGTGATCAAGCTGGGGCAACCAACTGTTTGCTTCTGGCCCAGAATTCTCAGTGTGGCTCCACTCAGTACTCGCTAACCCTCTGCCCCTGCCCCCACAGAGATATTTCTCTCAAGAAGTCCTCTATGTCCACAAATTTTCTGAAATCTCCCCTCAAACCCTACAGATCTCAACCCATTTCCCCAGCATATGCAGTGACTAATTTATACAAACATGCTATTGAAATCGGAGGCTTTCAAATTATATCAGGAATTAAAAGGTGAGAGACTGAATAAAGGAGATTTAAAGCATCCCTAAAGAAAACTAACATCCAGTGCTAAGGGAGGAAAGCATCTTCAGTGAACTCTATAACCACAGAGGGCAGTGCAACTGACAGGGCCTTAAGAGAACCAATCAAGCATTCTCCAAGGACCCTTGGATAAGGCAACGCCTGTCCTCAGCTCCTCCTCTCCAGGAAGAAGTCAAGGGGCTGGGTCCCAGGGTCTTTATGCCAGCCAGCAATCCCTGAGGGAAGCTCTTGCTCCTGGAAGTGTGGTTCTAGAAGCCCAGTGGATTTGACTGGAATGATTGGATTCAAGGTTCAGATTTGAACTGATACAGACCTTCTTCTTGGGTCCTGTTTCCAAACCCTCTCCACATCCATCCATGCAGCATTTCTGGGTTCCTAGAGACAAGGAACAGGCTTTGCTCCAGAGACTCAGGCAGTGAGTCAGAGCTGGGGTTCAGTCTCATCTGCTCTGTCACTGGCTATGGCATCTGGGCCAGACACTGCTTGATCCTGGCTTTGGCCTGTCTTTCTGCAGAGTGGGAAGAAAGTTGAGATGACCTTCCCCTCCAGCATGCTATGATTTGGGTATCCCTGGGGGTTCCTGTTGCTTTAATAACAGTGATGTATGTTATCCTCTCCTATACTTAGGGGGCCAGGACATCTTCATGACAGAGGAGCAGAAGAAGTACTACAATGCCATGAAGAAACTGGGCTCCAAGAAGCCCCAGAAGCCCATTCCCCGGCCCCTGGTGAGCCCCCAGAGCTTCCCCGCAAAAGATGTCTGAGAATCCAACCTGACAGCCTATGCCTGTGCTGGGCAGTGACCTCTGCCCAGCACAGGCATAGGTCTGAGTGGAGTTTAAAGATGAGGGTAATGAGGATCGAGAAGTCTACAAGAAGCAACTCCGATCTTCTGGAGTGAACATATCTTCTACAATTACTCCAGATAGAACCATCTAGGGAAGTACTGAGTTCCTCAACAGTTTTAGGGTTCAAGCACAGGATTGAGAGCAGATTAGGCTAAGTGATAGTAGAGTGGTTAGAGCCCTAAGATAAAACATTTGTGTGATTATGCAACATAATGTAGATCGCAATGTATTTCCAGCCTACCCTACATTCCACCCAGGCCTTCAGGTAGACAGAGAAGAAAGGGCCGAAACCCAAACCCCTGGGATCCTGGGCTGGTCAAGGTCATGGTCAGGTGGCACGACAGCAATCAAAAATTATCCCACTCTAATGCTTAAATATCAACTGAAACTTAGGGCCATGCTTACTTTCATTTCTTTATTTACAAAGATCCTAAGAGACATGCCCCTTTATTCTCCTATTAAATGCAGCACTCAAACCATACATGAGATCTATCATCTAAATTCTTCTCAGGTCTCTGTCAGAAGGTGGAAAAATCAGACCCCTGACTGGCCCCTGATGGAAGCGGATGAACAGGTTTGGGCGGGGGGATGTTGCTATGTTGAAAATGTGCAGCTGAACCTCTTCAAAGAATTTCTGAGCCATCCACTCCAGTGAATGGAATGGGTATCTTGTCCCTTTACACAACTTCTCTGTGGTGAAGATGCAACATTTATGAAGAAAACTACAGACACTGCCCATGGTACAATCCCATTAGCCCTTCCCCACGAAAGCAGAGACTAAGGACCTTCAACAAAGAAACAGGCCTTTTCCTAAATGACTTAGAGAGACATACCTTCTGTTGGCCTAGGCACTAGAATTTCTAAACCAAGGCATGGGATTTGCATAAGTTACTGAAAACTTCATGAACAGAGAATCTTGAAAACATTTATAGGAGGAGGAAAATGTTATGACTTTTGACACACTCGACTTAGAAACAGAGGTCATATATTATTTACTATTATCAATTCTGAAAAGAAATGTTATAATGGGAAGTGTTAGGATGTTCAGACCTCTGTAGGGCAGAAGTTTCCTCCCAAATCCCACATGAGATCAAGATAACTGGGGTTAGGTGAGCCTGCGGGAAAGTCCTTAAGTTTTATTGAGTATCCTTCTGTCAACCAGTCCAAAGGGCAGGAATGGACTCAAAATTAAAATATGTAGATAAAAGGCTGAGCCCAGCCAATTAGTCAAATTGAGAGCTATAGGAGGAGGATCCTCGGATTTACTGAGAAACAAACAGCTGAGTCCATGCTGGCCTTCACTGGTGACTAGACTAATGTCGAATCCACATTCGAACCAGACACTAAGGAGCTCTATGCTAGGGACAACTCTTGGCAAAATCATGATGGTTTTTGAAACCTTCCCCTACATACTACTCAATCTCTCTGTAACATCTGAGCTTCTTCACTGTCACCAACCAATTCCACAGGCCACCAGAGCTTCCTCCTCTAAAAGAGGAAAGTTTCCCTGGAACAGGGTGGGCTGCATTTCAAAAGGGGACCCTGGAGAGGACACTGTCTTAATACAAAGGTAGGAACCTGATGCTAGAATTTCAGGCACTACAATAGGTTGATGGTTGGGCAGGAAAACCTGCAACAAAATCCTAATTAAGCCACAACCAAGAACCTCCAAGGTTGGCACTGGGGGACATCCTTCATATGAATAAGGAAAATAGCCCAACTGTGTTCCTGATATTTATCATCATTTATGATGGGAGATGTGTGTGTGGGAGGGGTGGGGAGGGGAAGGTATTGATAATTATCAATACTTTACTCGCTTTAGTGGAAGAGCATGGCTCTCTCCTCGAAATTCTTGTTCAAGCATAGCAAACACTCTGTCCTTTGTTCCCCTTAGCGTAGTTTGGCAAGGCCAAAACATTCAAGCAAGACTTTGAAGTCGTAGGGATGTCAAAGGAAAACTAGCAGAGTAGGGCTCAAGCAGAAACTGCATGTGGCTGACCTCCAGGGCCCTCAGGCCTTAGCCCATCCCAGCTCCTGGCTGGCATCCATAAGGCAGGCAACATCTTGGCATCCTACCACCCAGTGGCACAAGCCTGATCACCTGTCTTTTTCAAAGTCCAGAGCCAAGAAAGAAACCCAAAGAAAAAGAGAAATTTCCTCTGCCACCTAAAACTCACCTTCCTGAGTCCAGCTTCCTTTATGCCAGGTTATTGGCACTAAAATGCTCACTTTCTTCTCTTAAGGGTCCCAACAGGACAGGCTGATTAGATAAGCACAGCATTGGCACAATTCTGCCCCACAGTTGCATGGGTGCCGTGTCATGGCACAGCCCACACGGACGACATAGGGACCTCCAACGCATGCGCAGACATACTGCTCCTCACCTCTGGTGAAGCCCAGGTTTTAAATCTTATGCCTCATCCATAGCAAAGACTAAGACTTCCACAAGAATGAAAAATTTTATTCTGTAGCATTCCCTACATTAGAAATCACTAAAAGCAGGTTTCACATACTCCACTTTATAGAAAAATAATAGGCTCTATAATATCACATTATCAGTAATCCACTTCATCATCTCTTAGAGTGCTGTGGGTTGCAAAGGTGTGATCCCTTCCAATAGGCGAAGCCAAGACAGCCAGCAAGCTGCTCCATTCCCCAGCATCTGAATATCCAGGACAAATTTGATGCCTGTGACTTAGCAATGTTGTTGCCCATTTTAATTAGAAGTCATGTGGCCATGAATGGGTCTTTTTTTTTTTTCATTATTTTTAGTGATGAAATGAAAGGTATTAGTGGCCCAGTAATACCCCTCCCCCCTCCAGGAATGATGTAAGCCAGTAGTTACACCCAGAGCCAGGCCCACTTGGGTCTGATTCTCTGCTCTGACCCATAGAGTAGCAACTCATCTCCATCATGAAGCAGAAAGTAGGAGCCAGCCTCTATCACAGCCCTTCTTCCCCTCGGCCTGCTTTGCCCCTCCGAGGAGCTCCCTGGTGGAAATTCCTAATAACTTCTTCTCTTCTTCCCTCACAGCCACACCTGTAGAGCCCTGCACATAGTACACATTCAGTAAGTGCCTATTGTACAGAATTAAATGTAATCAAACTCTAGTGGAGTAGTTTTATAATTTTATTTGAGGTGTAGGTAACAGAGCTGTCACCCATTCATTCATCTATTTATTGAGCATCTATCAAGTGCCAAGTACTATGCAGATACTGGGGATAGAACAGTGAGCAAGACAGACGACGTCCTGCCCTCACGGAGATTACAGTCTAGTGGCTCTGGGAAATAATCAGCAAAAATCACACATATATTAATTCACAGGCTTGAGAAATTGCCAAGGGAGAAAGAATGAGATTAAAAAGCAAAGGGTACCTAGGACTAAACCTTAAGGAACTCTAACACCTAAAGTTTACGTAAAGAATACTGAAAAAAAAAAAATCCGTAAAGTTAAGAAAAGAACCAGGAAAATAAGACATGATGAAAATCAAGAAGGGAGAGTTTCAAGGTGGAGGAGTTGGTAAGCAATGCCAAACAAATGTCCTTGGTGTTAGCATTATGGAGGTCATTGGTGATCTTAGCAAGAACAATGTTATTGGCAGGATGGGGATAAAAGCTATGCTAGAGTGGATTGAGGAGTAGATGGGAAAGAATGATTACATACAATTCTTTCAAGAAATTTTGCTGTGCAAGTGGGGAGAGAAGTAGGCTGGTAACTGGAGGAAGATGTGAGTTTCAAGAAGATTTTTCTTTAAGTTAGAAAAACTAGGTCATTAGAGATTTAGCTAAAAAATCCAGATATAATAGCCAAGAGTGTCCAAGTGTGGTCAAGAGCCTCACTCATCAGTAATGAAACAGAGGGACCAAGAGGTTGTAAGTGGCAGCAATGAAGGGGAGGTGGAGGTGGACAAGCTAGATGACACAGGCTTCAAAGAAGAAGAGTTTTACAAGACACAAGAAGAGCAAAGGTCTAGAAGTGACAGTGGGGAACAAGAAGGATCTTAAGCCTACCTCCTAGCCCAGGAGTACATGGAGGGAGAGAGAATAAGCAGCCACTGAGTAACAGGAGATGTTTGTCGACCAAAGCTCCACAGAGCTCAGGAGAAGGTGAGGGGTAAAGGATGGAGTTCAGATCAAGGAGTCACAGAACAGTATGATGTTAAGACCATGAGAAAGACTAGAGGGCCATACTAGGAACTTTTTAAAAACACCATAAATATAGCCAGATGGAAATGATCTGTTGGTCACCGAGGCCACTCTGCCTCTCTCTGAGAATGCAAATGACCAAAACCTGACCCCATGCCCTGTACCTGTATTTGCTTAGACATCTTCATAGCCCCAGGAATAAAGAGAACATTTGCAGAAATCAGTTGCACCTTCATACTTAACTATACCCTTGAATCAATAATTTTTCAAGCAGTTCTTGAACTCTTGCTATATGCAAGGCACTACAGGAACACAAAGTTAAATAAGACCTGGTCCTTATCCTCAAGGAGCTCACTGTCTAGTAGAAAAAAAGAGAAGCATACATGGAATGCTAGAACTCAAGACTGACTGTAAGGAACATGGGAATCCGAGGAAGAGATGGAGTAATGTAGTGTGATATGTTTAAGGAGAACTCCCTGGAGGAAGTGGGGCTTACAAATGATAGATCACTCAAGACTATTGGGATTTAGATAGCCAAGAGATGGGCTGGAAGGGCATTGCCAATGGAGAAAAGAGCATGGAAAAGGACAAAGTGCCTGCTGACTTCGTGGGGCCCAACAGGTGACGAGAACTTGAATTGAAGCAATGAGGTAGAGTCAACTAAGAGTGAGAGGTTGGACAGGAGTTGGTTTCTGTTTAGTTGTGGAGTGTGAGGGAGACAAAAGAGACAGACTTTAAAAGCCATCTATGGAGAGCCACAGCCTCTCCAGATGCCTGATTTATGTTGGCCTAAAGACCCTGGTGTACTATCTCTTGTTTCCACAGAACAAGTACCAGGGCTTCATCTTTGACATTGTGACCAAACAGACTTTTGACATCATTATCATGGTCCTCATCTGTCTCAACATGATCACCATGATGGTAGAGACTGATGATCAGAGCGAAGAAAAGACAAAAATCCTTAACAAAATCAACCAGTTCTTCGTGGCCGTCTTCACAGGAGAGTGTGTCATGAAGATGTTCGCCTTGAGGCAGTACTTCTTTACCAACGGGTGGAATGTGTTTGACCTCATCGTCGTGGTCCTCTCCATTGGGAGTAAGTGGGCATCACATGTGGTGGGGAAGCCCAGCCTCTGCTTGGGTTGTTTTGGCTGTTCTTTCAAAACCAAAGGGACCATCGACAAACTATTTTGTTTTGTATTCGGTGTTTTTATGTTTGTTTGTTTTTTTAGTTTCAAGTATACAGTACATCAGTTAGACATTTATATAGTTTATAAGACAATCTCCCTAATTGCCCTTTCTTTCTTCTGGCTCTCCACCTAGCCATTACATTAATGCTATCAGCATTCCCTACGCTGTGCTCCCCATCCCTGTGACCATCTATGAACTACTAATTTGTACTTCTTTTACCCTTCACTCCTTTCTTTCAGACCTCCAATCCCCCTCCACTCTGGCTGCCACCAGATCGACAAATTTTTTTAACATGCTGTATGTTAAAGGAGCCCAGTATTTGCTGCCTTCCAAAAGCAGCAGATTTTAAATGTCCCTGGGCCTCTCAGTGAAATGGAGAGTTTCCACTGGCCTTCTCCATGCAGTCATGAAGCGTCTTCAGGCACCTACTGTGTACACAGCCATCACCAGATGGGGGCTGATAGGGAACAATAGTTCCTCCAAAACACCTAAGATGATGGAGTCTCTAGTGGGCCTTCTTTTTATGATCTTCAAATCAAAGAGTGGGTGGTGTGATGTGAAGTGAGTCATAAAATCCTTTTTGGAAAAGGAGGTGGGTTGCCAGCTGAGTGAGGAAAGTCTAGGAAGAGATTGTTCAAAGGAGGTTTGTAGTCAAGGGCCTGGAATTAAATCTCTATATAACTATCTACTTAGGGAATATGAGTGATAGAAAAGTCAAGGGATCAATGCCAAGAGATCAATGCCATTATGGTCTAATCTGGTTGTTGTTGAATGATAAGCCCAATATTTGGGAGCCAAAGTGTTCAGAGAAAATGAGTAGTCGGAGGCTAACTCTATTCAGTAGGGAATGGAGTAGCCATAATTGAGTGCTTGCTGAGTTCAGAGCACTAGGCTGGGCTCCATGAATCTTCATAGCAGCCCTGTGAAGAAGTGCTATTATCCTCATTTTATACATTTGAAATTGAACCTCAGTGATTCAAGGTCATACAGTTTGTAAAAGGCAGAACCGAACTTGAACCAGGCTAATGTTCTAACGTACAAGCAGCCTCCCACCAACAACTAAAAGACTGCCCCTGGCCTTTCTGTGGTTTAGCCAAAGTTTGGCCCTATAAAGGCCAGATATCAGCACACCAGCTTTATTTTGCTTTATAAATACATCCTGACCTATTATATCATGACCTGCTTACTTTTCATGTCTAGGCATAGCTGTAGATTTAATTTTCCATTGATTTACTATCAAAGGCTAATAGTATCTAAATACAACTTGGCAGCATTTAATCAATCGCCCTATCCTGGTGCTGAAACAGCGTTGGGTTTATTTAGGGTTGTTTCAGGGGGAGGTCAATTTATTTTTGGTTTTTGTTTATTTTCTGGTTGCTGCTGTTTTTTGTTGGAGGTTTATTTTGTGTTTGTCTTCCAAATCGACAGATTCTAAAGGCCATTTTGATTTTATATTAGAGAAAGGAGCTTGCTTATATGACTTCCCGTATTAGTATTATAGAAATAAAATATACTCAAAGAACTCAGTTCTGTAATGTGGACACCTTAGCTACCAGCTCCTATAACCTATGCAACACCACCATTCCCTGGGCAGAGATCACTCAGAGACAGCTAGAAAGCAAATGAAAGACAGATTCCACCTGTCCATTCTTCTACCCTCCTTCCCTCTCTCCCTTTCTTCCTTTCCACCAGCAAAACCTGTATTGAGTATCTAATCGTTACAAGTAGAAATATTCATTCTCCCTCAAAGTAGATGTAGATCAGTTGGCTGGCAGAATTTTAGGAGATTATATAGACATATAATGTAACCCACACTATGGAATAATGTCCCAGTTAAAGTAGACTTTAGGAGATAGGCTTTCATAAAGTTTTTATAATCTAAATTATAATTATATCCCAAGTCTCCTCCCATTTCTTTCCTCCTTCCAACGCAATATTGTGACTACTCATGTTTCTATGGCAAAAGGCAAGTAGAAGAGGGTCAAGGGAACCTTGGCAAGGAAAGAGCTTGCTAACACACCCCTCGACTTCTGTCCTCAGAGGTTCTGAATTCGGTCTTACCTAAAGGCCTTGCCTAATCTTCGGTGGTCCCAGCAGGCCTCTGCAGTTCCCAAGATGAAGTTTCACAAATCAAGTTAGATACCAGATAGGGAGATGTATGCATTCCTCAGCTTTCCAACATTGTTCATGGTTGGGGTGGGAGGCTGTAACTGACCTTAAACAAGCCCATCTCCAGGCCCTGACAGAGTTCGAACGCAGCTGGAAATGAAAGAAATAAATAAAAACCATTATAGAGACAGCTGGCCATTGAAAGCCACTCTGCTTTAGCTGTCACCAAGTTGCCCAACTCCTCAGGCCCTCTTATAATTAATACCAGCCTCTGTACAATTATCCCCAGGACCATGTGCCAGGAACTGAGTTAATCTTCACAGTAGGAGATAGGGAGATGAATCATAGGGGGTCCTGGCCTTCACAGAGCACGGGATCAGAATGGGGGGAAAAGGCATGACTCAAAGGCTAAATTCTTAGGGAAGAACAGGGTCTGTGTCATAGACAGAAACAGACAAAGGACAGTGTGTGTATGGAATATGGTACAATCGCTTCCAGTTGAACTAGGCTTCAGAAGATAAGGTTTTGACCATGGAGATTGACTATGGCGATATTCTGGATGGAGAGAAAGACAAGAACATGGTAGGAAGAGTGAGACTTACTTGAGGAAGAAAGGATTTGTGTAATGAACACTTACTGAACCCCTACTCTATGCCAACCACTGTGTCAGGCTGAGAGGGCCCAGAGTTCTTAAATACAGATGCTCACGTGGAGGTCCATATGGAGCAGAGATGAAGGGTGTGATCACAGCCAACTGTGTCAGGGCTCATGGTTGGAAGTACTAATTAGATCATTTCCTCTCTCCTTTAAAGGCCTGGTGTTTTCTGCAATTCTTACATCACTTGAAAATTACTTCTCC